TTGGCACAATTGCAGGGATGAAGTAAAGAGGCGTGGTGTGTTTTCCTTTCTGCTCCCATTTCACGGAGTCAGGGAGATGAAATTTTTAAAAAATGTGCCGAGGAATGTTGTAAAGTTGTTTAGAGGTCGTGGAGGGGGTGTTTAAGGAGAGCTCATATCTTAGTTCATCTCTGCTACTGTAACAGAAATACCTGCAGCTGGATAATTTATAAACAATATATATTTACATCTCGCAGTTCCAGAAGCTGGGAGGTCCAAGGTCAAGATGCAGGCTGAGGTCTGGAGAGGGTGAGATAGAGACTTTCCTTCCAAGATGGCGCCCACTGTTGCACCTTCCCAAGGGAAGGACCACTCTGTCCTCACAGGGCATGGGTGGAAAAGAACCCCCCCCCCAACCCTTTTATAAGCCTTAATCCTGTCCAGGAGGGCTTTGCCTTCAGACTAATCATCTCTCAAAGGCCCCATCTCTCAATACCATCACATTGAGCGTTATTTCAATGTATGGATTTTGGAGGACACATTCAGATCATATGGACTTCTTTAATGGAGCACATGACACAGACTATGGCTGGACGATGAGCAGGATTTAGCCAGGTGAATAACAGGAGGGAGGACATCATGGGCTACGGGGAAAGCAAGTGCCAAGGCCACAAGCAGGAAGGAGTATGTAGTATTCATGGGATGGAGGCCCAGGAGGAAGGATACAGGAAGTGACTGGGAAGAAGGTGTGAAGCAAGGTCAGAGGAGGAGGCTGGGCCTTGGTAAAGAATTTAAGTTATAGGGGCCGGGGATTTAGTTCAGTGGTTCCATCGCCTGTCTCACAAGCTCAAGGACCCGAGTTCGATCCCTGGTACCAAAGAAAAAAAAAAGAATTTAACTTATCCTCTAAGCACCACGGGAAGACAGGGAAGGCTTTCAAACATGATCATGGCAAAATTACTTCCAAAAATATTGAGCTAAACACAAACTGACATAACTTTGTATTTTCTAGCCTAATAAGAAGATTCAAAAAAGCACAAACTATGATGGTAAAGTTGAGTGTCTCCAGTTTGAGGCCCACGGCCATGGTTCTTGGGTGACCCTGGCAGGCTCAGGACAAAATGGAGATGTGCATGTGAGTGGGGATTTGCCCCTTTCCACCCTTCACTCGTGGGCGTCATGGAGGGGTCCTCTCACCACACTTCCCCTGCCAGGTGTAGGACCAGGGCAGCAGAGCAGATGCTGCAGATTTGGGGCCACCCAGGTGGGCCACTGTGAAATGTTATCACCTCGAGACAGAATCTGAACGAAGCCAGGTGATCAAAAGATATGGTCAATGTTTAAGAAAATTCATTACAGCACAAGATACATTACCATTAATTCCCTTCAAAATATTCACAGTATTCCCTTGCTTGGGGCACACTGATGCCATCATTCTCAGTAAGGTGTATTAAGATTTTTAAGAGTTTAGCATTCACCATATTTTTGATCACATCTTGTACATGTTCCTTCAAGAAGGGCTTTATTTTTTTGCCCCCTTTCAATTTCCAGTCAACATACTTACCATTTCTTCCCTCATTATGGAGTTCTCATGCTGATAGCTATGTAGTCTTTCCTTATTTTTTTTAGGTACCCTTGAGGGCACAATTAGTAGCATTCATACCAAAATAATAATCCAAGTCCTAACCAGATTTAGCTTCTGAGACCAGAGTAGGTGGGCCCATGGCTAACAACACTTTCTGACACATTGAATAATTCAGTTAACTATTTTGGTTATGGTCCCTCTCCTATCAGTAGGCTCTAAGCTTCGTGAAGACAGGAAATTGTGTCTGATTTTTCCCCTGTCACATTTCCATGGCTACCGTGCTCGGTCCAGTCAACAAGCCACCATTTCCAGGGCTTTGTTGACCACCGCGGCCTGGCACTGGGGCTGCAGCATCAGGTGCTGTCATTTGTGATGACACACACTCAGCAACTCCATGATGCCAGTTCCTTGATTGATCCTTCTAGCTGCAATTGCATCCAGCATGGCATAATCAAAGTCGCACAACCCCCTTTCCTAGAACAGAACCTGGCGCTCGAAAGTCCACATACACAGAGGCCCTGACAGGTGAGCGCACCCATGAGGCAAGTGTGGGCTGAGGCAGGGATCTGCCCTCCTGGAGAGGCACTGTTAGCTAAGTGGGCCACACCCCATGAGCTCAGCGCTCTCAGGAAGGAATGCAGGCGCCCTCTGGTTTTATAAGCTCAAGCAAAACTAAAAATCCAGTATTGAGTGAAATGATTCAATTTTCGAATATTGATTCAATTAAAGAAAAATACTGTAAGGGTCACAGACAGTGTATCCGTGGGTGGCCAGTTTCCAACCTGGGGGAAGGGGGTGAGTTCCTTCATCCCAGCTCAGATGTTTTCTGGTGGTCTCTGGAGATTTTCCTCCCTGACTCCAAAGAAGGCTTCTGCCTGCAGCCCAGGCTTCTCCCAGTGAGGGATAGGCTCCAGCTGGAGAAAGAACCGGAAGCATAGGGTGGAAATGGAAGGACTGAGCAGAAGACAGGAATGTTCCCCGGCCATAGGCACTTGTAGAACTGGTTTCTCTGCTCGGTGAGAGATTGCGCAAGACACCCAGGACTGGGGAGGGGACGGGCAGTCGCGGAGGGCAGCAGAGGCGGAAGTGGAGCTGGCTGTCCAGGGGGAGCCCAGTCAGCACAGTGGCTGCCGCTTGCTCCCAGGCCACCGTCTAGGTTGACCGCCCAGCTGGATGGCCCAGATCTGCACATAGAAGACCCCTTGGCGGACGACCCCACAGCTGCCACTTCTTTCTCCTCATCTTGTGTTCAGAAGCCCAGTTGCGTTTGGGCAGCCATATTTCCAGCGAGAGTCACTTGTAATTTAAGAATGAGCTTAACACTCCCACTGCTTTGGCCCGTGACTGGGGAGGGCAGGACAGCCGTAATGACATGGGGGTCGGCAGAATTCTGGGAAATGCTTTCCTCCTTGAGAGGGAGAAGAGAGCAAGAGGGAAGGAAAGAAAGAAAGAGCAAGAGAGAATGAGAGAGAGCAGGCAAGCATTAGCAAGAGGTGTGCTCCGTCCTCTTTCCTCTCCACTTTTGCTGCTTGGAGAAGCACAACCACACTGAGATGCAGAAGGCCAGGGACCACGGAGCATCCCACCGAGCTGAGCTGTGCCTTCCTTGAGATCCCTCTGATCCAGCCCCTCCCACCCAGTGTCGAGCCTTCCGAGACAATGGCCTCTCTTGTGCCTAGGACACTCTCAGCCCTTCTCTTCTCTCCTCTCGGATGCAGCCAGGCGCGAGGAATGGTTAAGGGACGCGGGTGCTGAGGACATCGCGACAAGCAGGACCCGGATGTGCAGATTCTCAGTGGGGTGTGTATCAGGACTTGGGCTACTTTAATTTTAAATACCTAAAAAAAAATTCTACTATTTCAATCCCCCTTTAGTGTGCTGTGAGCGTAGTTTCCACGTCTATCTCATAGGCCTCTGTATCTATGTTGTGTCGCTTTAGTCCTTCAGGTTTCAGCTAGCTGGGCCTCACCTGCCTTTATACGGTCACCTGTTACAGCCCAGTGCTCCCACCCCCCACGGGCCTCAGCCAGTTGGAGGCCCGTGGACCCCACAGCGCTGCTCCTTAGCCCACACTTTGCAGCTCCACCCGGGACTTCTCTGTGGACAGGAGGCGAGAGAGGCTATGGGACCCCCTGAGCGGCTGGCCAGGTGAGGGAGGTCGCTCCCAGCCGGCCAGTTTCGCACGGGAGGTCTGAAGGGCCAGTCTTGCCCCTTCCTGCCCCAGCTGGATTCTCCCGAGTGCCCAGCGAGGTCAGCGGAGGGCTCTCCTGTCTTCCCTGACCCGCCTGCTCCCCTCCTGGCCCTGGGCTGGCGCCATCGTGAAGCAGGAAGCCTCCCTCCGAAAGATCCAGGCTCCCCTGGCTTCTGACCCTTCTCACCGTTCTCCCTAGGGCACTGCCCAGCATCTACCTGTCTGAAGTGGACACTAAACTGGACAAGCTGGCGCACGCCTGGAATCCCAGCCCTCTGGGACGCTGAGGCAGGAGGATGACAAGTGCCTGCCCAGATTGGGCAGCTCAGTGGGACCCTATCAATAGAAGAAAGAAAGAGAAAAAGCGAGGAGCACTATCAGTAGCCGCAGAAGTAGAGAGCAGGCAGGCATCGTGCGGCCTGGCGCAGCTCTTCGGAGTGTTACAAGTTTGTATCTTGGGCAGAGGAGTTTCAGGGGCAGCAAGGCCGAACTGAGAAAGCCCTTAGGTCCGGTGAACAATTGTGCCCGAGTATACAGTAACTGTTTAGTGATACTGTTCGATGACTACATCGGAGTGCCTCTTCTTCACACCAGCTAAGTTACCTTACGACCTTACACTTATCTTCCTAATCCTACGTCTTTCGCTCGTCTTCAGGGAGGACAATCTTCAGCCCACGTTTGCTGGGCGGATGAAAAACCACCTCTCATCCTGCGGTGCCAAGCTGAGCGCCAGGCGCGCCCCCTGCTGCCCGTGGCTGGAGCGTGTAGCCGCTCGCCCCCCCACCCCCACCAATTTACGTCGGCCCACGGGGACTTGCCTGTCCCTTTAATTGGCACGTACCATCTCCTTTCAGGTTCCGTTTCCTCCCTGAGCCCCAACCGTTCGGAATCGTTGATCTGAGACCCAATGGGAAGCAATGTGGAGACACTGTTGTTTTAGGGGGCAGTTGTGGGCCGGCGGGGGGGAGGGAGGCGGCGCGGGGCAGACGCGCGCCCTCGCGGCTCCCCCCCGGCGCCCCGTCGGCCAGTCCCAAGATGGCGGCCACCATGAAGAAGGCGGTGAGTGCGGCGCTCGGGCGCGGGGCGCGTGCGGCGGCCGGGCTGGGGCGCGGGGGCTCCGGAGCGGGGCCGGGGGGGGGGGCGCGGCCCCGAGGCCCGGGTTGGGGCCCGGCCGAGGCCCCGGACCCTGCGGGCAGCTCCGCGGCGAGGCCCGGCGCCCCAGCGTCTCCGTGGGCCTCCCGCGGGGCCGGGACCCTCGGGCGGGGGCCGTCTCTGCCGGAGCAGCCGGGACGCGCAGGACTCGCATCCCGCGCGCGCCCGACCCCAACTCGGTTGGTCCTCAGCTCCCGCGTCCTCCGTGCGTCCACGGAGGATGAGAAGGGTGAGGGCCTGCGGCCCGCGGCCCCCGGCTTCTCTGTGATCCTCCCAGGCCCTCTGCGAGGACCCTGTTCCCCCATTTTACAGATGGAGAAACTCGGACACAGCGATTGCTAGTGCTGTAGCGACTCAGCTGGTGAGAAGCTCAGCTGGGGATCAAACTCAGCATCTTTTTAATATGTATTTTTAGATGATATATGAAATTGTAAGTATTGGTAGGATACAGTGTGATACTTTATTACACCTTTTCAGCCACTAAAACAAACTGAATTTCCATTGGATGTTTATAACCAGTGAAACTTTTTAGATGCTTACAAGATCTCAGGGTAGGAGAAGAATAAAATTGGAGGGGGCCAGGTAATCATTGAACTTTTACCGAGTGCTGGGCAGAGTTCCAACACTGTGCATTGCATGTAGTATTTTGATCTCCTTTTTGGAGATACTGTTTTATCCTTATGTAGTAGGTAAGAAAACTTAAGCACAGAGGCAAAGCTAGGATTTAAACAGCCATTCTGATTCCAGGTTTTTTTTTTTTTTTTTTGGTAATTAAACCGGAGCCCACTGATGGAAATTCCTGGTGAAGGGATTTGCTTCCTGATTTGTGTATGTTTGCTTTCATTCCACCTTAAAAAGCACTGTAGAACATATTTCCTTTGGCCTCCTACTATCTAGCGCAACGTAGGCCGTGCCTCTGCCTGGTGTAGGTGACCAGCAATCCCACTTTGCCCGCGATCGAGGGAATGTTAAAACTGAGAAGGCATCAGTCAACTCAGGATGAGGTGCTCACCTAAGTATCTTATCACCCACAAATTCTTGTTTAGTACCAGAGAAAGTTCCAGGATCATGGGGATTTAGGCAAGTATCACAGTGAGTGAGAGGCAGTTTGTCTCCAGTATTTTGTTAAATTAGGGCCTCTGTTGTCAGATGAGGCCTTTTAATGCCCTGGAATGGTGGCGAACCTATGGTACTTGTGCCGCAGCGAGCTGTTTTTATCATTGAGAACTCTAAAAGGTCGGTCATCACTGCCCTAGAAGGTACTGGTTGTAGATTGCCCTTGTCTTAGAAACATGAGATTGAAGTGCAGGTAGTTGTAAAAATTTCAGTTACCAACCTTTTCCCCTTTCATGATGTAGTCAGTAATTTTCTTTTGAGCGTGTGGTACGGCACAGTGTCAGTTTTAAGTGAAGGAGATAACAGTGAAGTTCTTTTCCTTCTATCCTCATAGTGTGTTAGAACTTAGGCTTTTCGGGGAGAGTAAGGCATTACTCAAATAGTCACATAAGAACTTAAATTTCCACCTCCAAACCATGAAGGAAAAGTGTAGGATGAGGGCGGAAACAGGGTCTCTTGAAATCAGAGAAGGTGGTGAGGTGGTGGTATTAAATTTGGGACCTTTGAGATGACATATGGAGGGGAAGGGACAGCTGGTGGGCATAACTGAGTGTGCTGCACTTCCTTCGAATCCCCGTAAGGTATCTGCTCTCAAGAAGAGGGTGTAGTCAGAGCCCAGGGCTTTGTGTTTTCTGACTCCCGAGCAGTCTGCTTCTCTTAAGCCTCGCAGAATTTCCATCCAGATCTGCATTTGTTCTTCCTCTGTAATGATTTTGGACACACAGTATTCAGAAGATCAAATGTTTAACTATCATTTACTGCAAGGTGATTACATCCCCGGCTCTGGGCTCAGTACTCATTTTATCCCCTCTTGCAAGGCCGGATCAGCTTCTTCACTTTATATACAAATCTGAGGAAGTCTCAGAGAAAGGAGTGATTTGTGTAAAGTTCCTGCTTGTGTGGATTGGAATCCATTCATTCCTCCACTGTGCTGCCTGAGTGCTAGAAAACAGCTCTTTGGCAGTGATGACACGTTGCCTCCCTTACGGCACTCTTCGGAGAGAATCCACTGCCACACATGCCATTTTGGGGATGATTTCAGGGAATAAATTGATCTCTCAGTATTTTGGACCTGCACTTAAGAATTATCTTCTCTCTCTGCCGAAGTGCAAGTTCTTTAGAGAAGTACTGTAGAGCAGGAAGAGTCGCAGCACCCACTGCTGTTGGCCATCCCAGGCGGTGGCTCCTTACTTTCTCCTGCGGACCACCTGGCCCAGTGGCTGCAGTTGCTGAGGTGCACATTTCACTCACCCACCCCCGTAGTAAGAATCCCCATGGAGACCACTGTGAGAATTGGACCCAGGGCCTGCGTGCCTGTTGCCTGCTGGTGGCTGCTGTTTGGCTGCTGTTTCTTGGGGCTGGGACAGGAAGTATCTGCTTTGGAAAGATAGAACGCAGGTGGGCAAATTCTCCCCAGCGCTTTTCAGTGCATAACTGAATCCTTGAGTCTGATCCAGCAAGATTTAGATTCAGATTCAGAAACCTTCAGCCCCGGGCGTATGCCAGGGAAGCTCTGGATGAGGTATTTTCATGTGAACTACCCTTTAAAACCTGACAACGACAAATGCACCTATAAATACACAATGAGGTATTCGGGGGCTCAGTATCTAGGTGCAATGGCATAAACTCCTCAGGCAAGCAGGAATTCTTTGTTCTCTGCTTAAGAAGCTGGCAGTCTCATATAGATGAAATGACGTGAGCACCAAGACACCCACATAAAGGTGTTCCCAAGCTCTCTGCAGTGGTGCCCTGTGTTCCCCGATTCCGTATACATGGAAGCTATGCAGGGCTGCGGACTCAGAGCTGTAACTATCGTGATGTGAAGGATTGTTTAGGATACGCTTTGGGCCTGATGATGGGCCCGATGCTTGGGAAATTGTTCATTGGGAGGAGAGTCTGGTAAAGAGGAGGACTAAGTTCTGGTGTCTGCCTTTACATCCTGTCCACTGAGCTCTGTTGGCCGACAGGGTGCCTTTCAACCCCGGGAGAAATGAAAGTCCACTGTCTTATGTCACTGGTCACAAGTGCCCAGGTAGAGAATGGAGAATGGGTATTGGGAAGCCGTTTCTGTTACTGGCCAAAGAGCCACTAATCCTATTGAAGCTGCATTTGTTATATAGTAATAGGATAAGTTATATGTAATAAATACACCATTGCTAAGGACTATTTTTATACATATCTTTAATCTTGAATAACGAAGTACGCTTGTTCCTGTTTTATAAATAAGGGAAAGCTGAAGAGTCTGCGATTTCATTTCTTTTTGAATATATGGAAACCCTTTATGGCTTTGGGCAAATTATTTAAACTCCATGCCCTGGTTTTTCCATCTGTGAAATAGAATTGGTGGTCTCCCTTACTAAGACTGCAGGGCCTCAGCAGAGATGAGGACGCGCTTAGGAAGTTCCTGGCACGGAGTAAGAGCTCCCTTAAGTAAGTGTCAGCCCTTATTTTTAGTATTGCATGGATACTTTATGTCAACCAAGCTTTCTTTATGTCCAGATTGCAAATTTAATTGTATTATTAATTTTTTGATACTAAGTGTTCAGTTTTCATCATTTTGTAGGGAAATGTACCCTATGAAGACATGTAAAGAGGCTCTAAAGATTTATCACTTTCACTGTGTGTGGAAGAAGCACGGAAATGCTTCGTGGCCCTCTAGCTGGTGTATCAGTCAGCATAAACACTGTAGGGACCGTCAGCTTTCTGATCACTACAGTCAACTCATACGGATTTTAACTCTTGACAGAAAACCTAGTACACGGCACTTGGGAACATTAATTGGCCACTAAGGCTTTGCTTCCGGGCATCTTGGTGAAACAATGTTCCAACTCAGAAAACTGCTCTCAGCCAAAAGTTAGCTAACTTCTGTCTTTTTAGGACTTATTAGGTATTTATGTTTGAAAGTTTTTGGTAGTATAAGAATTATTCTATAGACTGCAGGAATAATTATAGGTCTGTGCACAGATCTTAGGCTCATGCAGCAAAAAACGCAAGAGGTTTTTGCTTGTGATACTCTGTACCTCCTGGGATTCTTGGCTCTATGAAGGCAGGTAATGTAAGTTATTTTACAGTAACGCAAAGCGAACCTACAACTTCCGCATTAAACATTTTACAAATATTACAAACTTTTTCAGGCTGCAGAAGATGTCAATGTTACTTTCGAAGATCAACAAAAAATAAATAAATTTGCGCGGAATACGAGTAGAATCACAGAGCTAAAGGAAGAAATAGAAGTAAAAAAGGTACTAGACATATTTATCATATTTCAGAAAAAGAAGAGTTTTTGATGCGGTAGCTCTTAAAAACTGGATCCTGTTAACCAGTAATTACCTTTCTCTGGGGCCTGCATTGCTGATGACACTGACCACCATAGTTAAAGCAGAAAGACATTTTTTTAAGGGATGTGAGATGGCGAGTGGAATTGGCGTGGCCCTTTGTTCCGGGCAGAGGTTTGGGGAGGAGGTTCCAGAGGCCCAGCTGAGAGGACTCAGCCTGGCTGGGACTGAGCTGGCTGCTCCTTGGTGAGGAAGCTGCCCCTGCAGACCCAGCAACCCTGAACTGCAACTGCCACTGCCCTGGACTCCAGCTGGGGGCCCAGCCTGTGTGCGAGCGACTCCCCTGAGGCGAAGTCCGGCTGAGTACACTTGACTGGGGGGGTACAGTTCCTGTGTGTTTACACCTCAGCAAGCACAGCTGACAAAATAGGTTATATTCTAGGTTTTTGGTTTTGTTTTTGTGGGAAGGAAGGATTCACCGAGTGGGAAATTTTGACCGTAGATGACTGTGGTCCATCATAGGGTGCTTTAGTAATCTGAAACTCCCCAGCGGGCAGTGTGCTACCGCTTAAGCGATTCCACAGCAAACGTCATCTGAGTGTAAGAGATTGATACAAAAGGGTCTCTGGGGGGGGGTAATTTCCCCAAATTAAAATCTGCTCTTCTGGCAGGGAATTTTCAATGTTTTCATTGTTTGCTTTAGAAACAACTGCAGAATTTAGAAGATGCTTGTGACGACATCATGCTCGCAGATGATGACAGCTTAATGATACCTTACCAGATTGGTGACATTTTCATTAGCCATTCTCAAGAAGAAACACAAGACATGTTAGAGGAAGCAAAGGTACGCAGGAGTCTTTCCCTGGGTGTTGAAGTCTAATTCTTAAATTAGGATTTATGTCACGAAGAAGAACTCGTAACTGTAGGTTGGAGAAGTAATGGACACTGGCCAAGAGTACTGGTTCTGTGTAATGACCAGGCGGATCTGCATGCTTTCCTGGCATGGTTTTATTGAATCCTAACCATGATCTATCATTGTCCCAACTTAGAATGAGGAATAGAGGCTTACAGAGGTTATAGGACTTAATTCCAAGGGCTATGCAGGCAGTGAGTGGTCTTCTGACTCTAGAATTTTGCTCTCCAAGTGCTAGAAAGTACAGCACATTACAAAGTAGAAAAGAAAAACTCCATAATCCCACCACCCAGAAATAACTATCCAAGTGAACATTTTCATGCATTTCTGTTATGTCGTCTCCCTCTGTTTCTTGGAGGAGTTTTGTTTTCCACCTTGGTCAGTTGACATTCTGGTGGGGATATTTGCTCCTCCATTTCATGTTCATCTAGTAGGTACCTGTTGGAGTCTTCTCTGGGTCAGCACACAGGCTTTAACAGCATCATTTTTCTGATTTGTTTAATGTCATCTTTAGTAGTGGGTTGATGGGCATTGATTTGGCCATGTCGTATTAACATTAATTTGTTTCCAATATTTTGTTACAGCGGTGTCACAGTGAGCTTTCTTATATGTCTTTGTTCATGTTTAGAAAATTGTTTTGATGAAATAATCAGAGAAGTGTGATTACTGGGTCAGAGTATTGGATTCTTAGACAATATTTGAGACAAATGATAGATGTAGTGTGGGAGATTACGCCAATTCGCCTGCCCTTCGACTGTCTAATAGAAGCCACCACACTGTGTATGAGAAGCTCATGGTTGTTAAACACTTCCAAATACTTTGTATGAATTAAGCCCACATCTGATAAACCTTGGGAAGAACTAACCCTTTTACTTCAGGATCTTTCCATGCAGAAACATTTTATGTCTACTTTATGTTTAAGTCTTTCCTTTCTTAGTCCAATTTTGTGATTTTAATTTTTTAACCGTGTCAAAATGGTCTGCTCCTCTTGGAAGTATTTTAGTACAATTTATGATTTTTCTGCTTATTGTGAATGCCCTCCCACCATATATGTGTGAATACTGACCTTAGTTTTGTCACCCCTCCCTCCCTCCCTCCTTCCCTCCCTTTCTTCCTTCCTGAAGTGTTTGTTGATTGCTTACCTGTGTTAGGTTCTGCCTTGTCCAGGGTTGTAGGGGACAACAGAGAATGCCTGCTTCTTGCACATGGAGCACAGAGTCTAGAAGCAAAGAAAATTAAATGAGAGAAAGTATTAATGAGTAGGAAGTGGCATGAAGATAGAGATGGCTTTAGGAAAGCCAGGGAGTCTACTGCACTGGTCTAGACATCAAGGATGGGAGAGGGCTCCCTGGGCAAGTGGTGGTAGAGCAGCCAAGGAATCCGTGGGTCAGAAAGGGGGCAGAGTGGGTTCCACTCAGAACAATCAGCATGTGTGAGTGGTTCTAAAGCGATTATGGTGGAAAAATAGAACCGAGAGTTTTGTTTGCTGGAAAAGTTTGGGAACATCTGGAGCTGTGGCCAAGATGCTGGACAGCTAGCTCTGTCAATTGAGTTTGTGTAAACTGTGCTTCATGTTGAGACAAGGGCCGGCAAACTGAGAGTGAAGGGCTGGAATGTACAGATACTCGGCTTCGTGGGCTGCATAGCCTGTCACAGTTACTGTGAACATGACATGTGTAAATGAATTTGCATGCCCATGTTCCTGTGAAACCTTATAACAAGGAACTTCGGGCTGGGTTTGCCTTGTGGGCTGTCATTTGCACACCACTGTCCTAGATCAGGGTGAGCCTTTCAGGGATTTTGAGGATAGAGTGATATGATGGGACTTGTAATTTTAGAATAATTTTCCAGCGTCTTATTTTACCTACAGTAAGTCCCCAACTTATAAATGAGTTCTGTTCTGGGAGAACATTCATAAGTCAGATTCATTTGTAAGTCTGACAAAGTGAGTCTTTGCCTCAAATATACGATGTATATTGCTTTGCACTTCCTAGCCGTCCCCTCCACATCACCACAGCTTGTCATTTTGATTCTGGACACCCTGGTCTCTGATTGAGCACTGTACTACTGCACACTGTCACACTGTACAGTAAGCACATAGCAGCACAGCTGTGACAGTGTCCAGCAGACACGTGAGCTACTTCTGCAAATTGTTTGAATTTATGAATGTTCGTGATGTGAGTTTAGTTTGTGTCAGTGAAACTTCGAAATTTGAATGTTTGTAAGTCAGGGACTTACTGTATTAGGGTATTTCTAGGTATAGAAGTTTTATCTACTTTCTAGGAGCTATCTGTCTTATTTCTATTTTTTGTCTTGGAATAGTGGTTCTCAGATTTGTAGCACACATCAGAATCAGGATCACTGTCTTAGTTACCTTTCTTGTTGCTGAGACAAAATAACCTACACCCACAAGTTAAAGGAGGAGAGATGTATTTCAGCTCATGGTTTGTGGAGGTTTCAGTCCATAAACAGCTGGCTCCAAGGCAGGGTGGAATGGTAGAGGGACATGGCAGAGGTGAAACAGTCCATGGCAGAGCAGGCAGGAGGCAGCAAGCAGCAGTAGCGGCAACAACAAGCCTGCCTTCCCTCCCTCCCTTTATATTCCATCCAGGCTACAGCCCTATTGATTGGTGCCACCCCAACCCAGAATGGGGCTTCTACTATCCATACCCAGAAATATGCTGGGCCAGTTTAGTTAACACACACTCTTAATCCCACTGTCACCCTAAAGCAGCATCACACGTCCAGGAGCCAACCCCCTCCCAGAGCCCCACCTGTGAGCACCTAGGAGGCTTTGGGGGACATCTAGTTGCAAGCCATAACAGTCACCCTCAGGGTTTTCTACAAATTCAGATTGCGGGTCCAATCTAAAGAAGTTCTAATTCAAGAAGTCTCGGGTGGGGTCACAGAATCTGTATTTCTGCCAGGTTCCTAGATCAGTAACGGCGAAACTTTTGGAGCTTTCAGTGATAACAAACAGTCTGCTGTAGCACTCAGCACTCACCATCCCTGCCCTAGGAGATTCTGCCTGGGTCCTAGTCTGGGGACGTACATTGAGAGGCATTGCCAGAATTTTTTTTATAGAGACAGGGTCTTACTATGTAGTTGAGGCTGGCCTTAAACTAGAGGCGATCCTCATGCCTCAGCCTCATGAGCGCTGGGAGTACAGGCCTGCATTGCCGTGCCTGGCCATTGTTTAGATTTTTAAGAGTAACATTGCCACTGCTAAGTATTTTTCTTTTCCTCCGAATGTTAATGGGTATGACACTTGTACAATTTTATAGTTTCTTTGTTATGTTTAGGAAAAATTCTTTCTTTGAGCCTAGGCAGCAAAGAACCTTTAACATTTCCTGGGGGTGAAGCTACTGTGTTTTATAAAGAAAGCATTTCTTCCCTGTCTCTTCTCAAGTTTAGCATTGGGGCCTTGTAGTTAGTGAAAATTTCTGCCAGATTTTGACCAAATGTTGTTATTACTAATTATTGGTGGAATTGAGTTTTTATCATTTCTTCTGCATGGTTATTTTTTATTTTTTTGTACTGGAGATGGAACTCAGGACCTTAGCCTTGCCAGGCAGGTGCTGTGCCCCTGAGCTGCTTCCCCGCCCCCTCGCCCCTCCGGGCCTGTGTGGTTATTTTTGTGGGAAATTATGAGAAGCTGTATTGAAGCTAGGCAAGCCCATGGTAAACTGTTTATAGAAGCCTGTGTGTGGCTCCTTTATCGGGGACGATACTTTAGGAGTTAATTTTCTTTAGGCCAGCAGACACTGGAAAAAAAATCAGGACTCACTCTGTGATAGATAAATATGGGTCTGAATTTAAAATGCTCACATTCAGATTTCTTTTGTTTTTAGATCTAATGATCACTGTTATTTAGCTGCCTAAGTTCAGAAAATTCTTCCCAATAGTTCAAACACAGATGCTCAGAAATCATCCAGTTGGATAGAACTAACTTTAACTATTTTTTTTTTTTTCAGAAAAATTTGCAAGAAGAAATTGATGCCTTAGAATCCAGAGTAGAATCAATTCAGCGGGTGTTAGCAGATTTGAAAGTTCAGTTATATGCAAAATTTGGCAGCAACATAAACCTTGAAGCTGATGAAAGTTAAACATTTTATAATACCTTTTTAAATTTGTTTAATAAACTTGAATATTGTTTAAAATGATAATTTCCCTTCAAATGACATGGAAAGGAAATCTTTCTTTTTTTAAAGTTTTCATTTATTTAGTGGAAACTTGCCTATTTTCACGTCTTGCTTATTTATTTTATATTTTTAAAAGACAGTATTCATCTATGTATTTTGCATAATGATTATATCAATTCTAGGGGCTTTATGTCATGTTATTAAAATCAGTTAAACAATCTTCTGTGTTTCTATATTATTTAGAATACTTCTTGCAGTTTTCAGTTATAGAAAAGTTAACAGTTGTGTCCTGTTGTTTGTCTCTGATTCTGGTTGCTGACTAAGGATGGTGAAAACCCTACAAAAATGTACAATCTTGCAGCTGTCCACTCTACGTATTTCACAACTAAACTTTCTCCTTTACTAAAAAGTATGTGTGTGTATATTTAAATGTGTAATTTACATAATCAAGCATTGACCGTATCTTTTACATATACCAGTGTCTTAGATGTTGGTAAAAGAATGGGTAATGTTCAGTCACGTGGAGACATGTTGGTTTTCATACAAACACAGAACAGAATAGAAGAACATTTTAGAAACCAAGAGACATATCTGTTTTAAGTTTTAGACCAAATTTTAGCACTTCGTAATTTTTTGTTTGGAGGCAGGGTCTTGCTAAGTCCCCGGGTTGCCCAGGCTGGTCTTAGACTTGCAGTCCTCCTGGCTCATTCTCCCCAGGTGCTGGGATTGCAGGTCTGCACCGCAATGCCTGGCTAAAACCTATTTTTAAATAAAAAATACATTTGTCCCCCTCATTTCCTCCACAGATGTTGATTTAGCATTTAGAAGTCGTAGATGTATTGCGTTTCCACCAGATGGCACTGGTATGCCAGAATACCAGCGGAAGGATCATAATACAAAAAGAGGATTAAAAAAAAAAAAAGGCTATTTTTAGGATTAATGTACATAATTTTAAAAGAAATATTTTTTAAGCTAGGTTATAAACATTGCATATATATCTTTTGGTTAAATCTTTCTTTATAAGCAGTAATTTAAGCTTAAAAATAGAATATAAAATTTCCAAAATTCTTAATAGCATAAAACCAAACTTGCATTGCTATGAAGTCTTCTCTAATAGTGATAGTCAGATTCTAGCAGATGACTTACAGGAATATTCCTGAATGTGTTCAGCTAACATTCAGTTGGGAGAGACTAGGGACGTATTTCTGTCAGATTGCAGCAGGAAAATAGGCACATGCAGAGGTGGGAGGTAGTGATGGGGAGCCTTTTGTGCCCTTGCAAGTCAGGTGAGGGGAGCGCCTGTCCCCTGGTCTGGAGCTCTGGGAAAGGCCATCTTCATGGGCAGGACCACAGCACCTGTGTCTTACCTGCAGTGACAGAGCCAGGGGATGAGGGCCCAGGTGCAGTCTCTTCCTCCAGAATCCACCTGGGCCCCAAGGGTGGCCAAACCAACCGTAAGCAGCGGTGGGATGTCTTCCAAAGGGCAGAATGGATGGGCCTGGAGGAGGAAGAGCTGGCAGAAGTGACAGAAGTGCGCCACAGAAATTTCCATGACCACTTACCTGATTTAGATACGGGGAAATGGAACTAAGTAACCGGCTAACTCCCTTTACAAACTTTACTTTAAAATGAACTTGCGGACCAGTAAACCCCATGTGCTGCGTCTGAGGACTGTAATGCGTGTTCTAGCCAGTAGTTGCCATGTGGACGCTTTGTTCTCGGTTTGTCACTGCTATGTTTTGAGGCAGGAATTCTAATTTTTGTATGTAATTACTATTTTTAGACAGTGCAGCTATTGCTTTTTTTTTTAAGCATTGCAGATTAAACAACTATTGGTCTCTGGACTTCAAGTTTGCAGTCTGCGGTGCACAGAGTGATGCCGCAAATCCAGGCCTTTCATAGAAAACAGGAGATAATTGGCACTGAATTCTGTGCTGCGCTGCTGACTTGCATTCCTGAGCATCTCTAAACCGGCCCATTTCTCCCCATCTCCACCACCACCACCACCACCTTCGTCCAAGCTTTGAGAGCTCTACTCAGAAGCTTATGTGTTTAGCTGGGGTTTTGATAGCAAGAGCCTGGAGGAGTCGAAAGTGTTTGGAACAGGTCATATCCATGGTTGGAGTAGTATTTTAAAATTATGCAGCAGAAATTTCACTACGAGGAGACGGAGGTGGGGATACCAGGTGTTACTGCACCTTCCCAGGTGCATGCAGTTACTTGCCGAAGAGAAGGAAGGCTAGGTCTCAGAGGTGGTGACCAGAAGGTCCTGACAGTGATTGAGAAGATGAAGGCGTAGGGAGGAGGAGGAAGCCAAAGATAACGTGGTTCTGAGCGCAGGCCCAAAACAGGGTTGAATAGGAGTGTTGTTGTTTGGTTGTTTGTGGCTCTGTTGGTGTAAAAAGAGTTGGATTTGTTGCCACAATAAAATCCAGAAAGCTTGTTACAAATCCACAGCTTGGCAGTATTGAAACCATATTTCCAGGTGGTGACTTTCAGCTGCTGGCCTGTGGGACAAAGCGAGTTGACCCTAGTTCGCCCCAGTTCTCAGGCTGTTTCTCTCACTGTCCTCCTGCCTGTCGCATGTGGTTGTGTGTCCCCTGCTGGTACTACTGACAAAGACAGCAAAGTAAGAAGTGTCGTGCAGTGGGGACAACATACAGCAGGAAGAGCTTGAGTTTGGCCTTGGATGCCTTGGCCACGTGGAGATACGAGGTAGACAGCTGGGCTGCTGAATTGAAAAGTGAGGTGTGCAGGACTCGGGAGGTACATTTGAGAGCCTTCAAAAAGAAAAACTTAAGGTACATGAAAACCAGCTGGAGATTTTGTTCGAAAGCAGATTCTGGTTCAGCAGGTCTGGGCTAGGGCCTAGGAGTCCGCATTCCTAAGGACCTCTCAGAGGTTGCTGAGGTTGCTGGTCCTGAGAGAGAGAGGAGGACTTAGGAAAATGCAACTGGGAGGATCAAGAACCAGCAAAGGAGACGAGCAGCAAACATGTAGAATTCAGGGGGCCAAACTCAGGGCTGGAGGCAGGAGGGAGTGCTAAGCAGTGACATCCAGTGTTACAGGGGCCCAAACCGGAGAAAGTGGAGCTGTTTGGTGGCTGAGAAGTTCATAATTTCCTTTACGAAGGGGGAACTTGCCCTCCTCCTACACACACCTGGGCTCGGGAGCGCTGTACAGGACCCTGGTGTTTTCTGGTTTTTTTGTCCTGCTTGGAATGGAGCCCCAGGCCTTATCCACAGAAAGCACTTGCTGACCTGCTGAGCTCCTCCCCAGTGCTGGGGCCTGGATTCTCAAGGTGCTGCCTGTGGGATGTAAGACCCTTCTCCGGACTGGGAAGCTTCTGTCAGAACACAGGGAAATTCTCTCCGGGTCAGTACATGGGGCTGCAGCATCGACTCACCTGGGAGCATCTTAGAAATGTCAGGTTCTTCACAGGACTAAACCCTGCAATAAATGTCCCTTAGTTGGGCAGTGATGTTGAGTGTGCAATGGACATTGCCTTTTAAGACTCCTAGAAAATCTGGGAGTGGGGTGGAGTGTTTCAATGAGCAAGTGACTTGAGTGTGTCCTTGCTCAGGAGGCTGAGCCAGAAGGGTGGCAAGTTCAAGACCAGCCCGTACCACTTAGGAGATTTTGCCTCAAAATTATAAATGAGATCCATCATGGCAGACTAAGGGCAAGCAGAACTCACAAGCTGCTCTCACACTCATCTAAATGAACAGGTACGGGGCTGCCTGAGGAGATGAGGACCATGGGAAACTGCTGGAATACAACCTGAGTGAGATAGTGCCTGGCTGAAACCCGGAAATGGTGATATTTAGAATAATAAGTGAAATAGCAAGCGTCACACTTCAACACTGAACGCTGGGCAGCTCAGGGCAGAGGGGAGCCCCCCTTCTGTGAGACTGAAGAAAAACTCTCGGCATGCTTTTAGAAAATGCAAACTCTGCTACTGGACTGATGAACAGCCTGCGCAGAGGGTGACTTGATGTCTTCCAAGTGACAGGAGGTACAGGACAGGTAATTCCCAGCCTCTCCCTGTGGATTTCGGAAAACAAACAAACAACCTTACCCAAACAGCCTTTGAATAGGTAGATATTAACAAGGAAGTATCAAACATATTTTCCTTTGGCTGTTCAAAGATAGCTAAGGGTATACTTTATGAAGCTTGAAATATCAAGAAAATTTTGAATTCAGATAAAGAAAATTATGAATCTTATTTTGGTATTTTTGGATGAAAGCCCAAGGGAAAAAAAAATCTAATTCAAAGAATGAATTCGAAATGGATGTAGACTGTGTGTTCTGCTTCAGTCTGTGGCAAATGGGAGCATTTGTCTGCATACGTGTTCCACAGCTTAGAACTTGGTAAACAAGAGATAGGAAGGTAAATATAAAGATAATAGTATTGAGGAGTGCTTTAGAATGCAAGCTTTGAAATTAAACAGGATTTAAAACAACCCTGTTTTTTACCAAAAAAAATCCCCCGAAACAAAAACACTCCTTTTGATGAGGCTGCATGGGAGAACAGAAGCTCCCTCACTTTGGGTCTGGGATGCAGTAGGTTCATCTGCCCATGTCTCCCCTGGAAAGCAGAGGGCCCCCCTCCCCGGGAATTTGCTTGGGTCCAGTGGAATGGTGCTGTGACACAGACTCACTAAGACTACGGGGAATGGGGAGTGCCCCAGTGGCTGGGTGGTGGGAAACTGGACCCCAGACTTGGGAAGACTGCGGTTGGTCATCAAACAAAATAAAACCTATCTGTGGGTGAGTGCGTCCAGCCAAGTGGAGGGAAATGCCAATGATCAAAAATGGTGGTTTCAACAATGCAGTCCAGCCACAAGAGGTTTTGTGGGGAGCAGGGTTCTGGGATTGGAGTGCTGGTGCTGGGATGGTGGAAAACTGGGTGCACACAGCTTTTCATCCTAGTGTGGACGCTGTGTGCCCAGCTGCCTCTGTCCTGCTAGGGAGCATCCAGGGTACGTGCCTTTTAGCACAGAAGTCTTGCCAACCCTGTGTCCATGAGCAAAGCCCGGGACCTCCACAACCAGGACCCACCGTCCAGACCTGCCCACAGAAAAGGCGAGCAAAAGGCTTCTCATGCCACACCCTCATTCCCAGGTATGAGGATGATGAAGATGGATGTGCATGTAGCCCTGAGCACGCGTCCATAACCACGGAGGAGGCGCTTGGCCCACAGACTGCCCCAGACAGCTT